TTACAGTGAAGTTTTTTTTTAAACCAGAAACCAAGCAAGTTGTTGTTGTTATGTCCCTTCCATCTCCCATCCCCTTCCCCTGTGCTAGGGATTGAACCCAGGGCCAGTGAAATTACTCAATGGAAACACACCAGGTGTATGGATGTGATATTAGATTGCAAAGTCAGTCTATTGACAAAACTTATTTAGGCTCCACAATGAAAAGGGATGATTTCTGCTACATGAATGCACGATGGAAACATTTTATGAAACCTAAGAAGTCAGACACAATAGGCTTCATATTGTATGCTTTCATTTATATGAAATGTCCAGAATAGGGAAATTATAGAGACAGAAAATAGATTGGTATTGCCAGAGATTGGAGGTATGGGAGGATGGAATAACTGGTAGTGCCAGGATTCTTTTGGAAATGATGAAATGTTCTGGAATTAGTAGTACTGATTGTGCACTTCAAAGGGTGAATTTTATGGTTTGTGAAATGTATCTCAAAAATCCACATAGGCTAAATTATCCTTGAAAGTCCTTTTCCTAGAGTTCAACACAACATGCACAACATCAGCCCAGCACCCCTGCATTTGAGCCCCATATGGCCAGCGAGGACCTGCGAAACTAACACTTACACACCAGAGACTCTGGAATGGTTAACAGCCCTCCAGGCAGTTGTTGTTCCTTCTATCAAAAGTGAGGGAAGGATCTACTGGAATTTTGTTGTTGGAAAAGAAATAAGAAACAAATGACTATCACCATTAAGATGATCAACTTTAGAAGCAACTCTGCCATTCTTTACAAAATAAAGATATCCCCTGAATGAGAATGAAAAGCAGAAATCTCTTTTACTTCTAAAATGCATGAGAGATGATACTCTAGTTACCATTGCAATCCAAGAAGTGAGCTGTCACAAGCAGACATCCTGACAAGGCTAACTCTGAGCATACAGGTCACGTGGACATTTCTGGGGACACCTTCAGCTTCCTCCAGTTTGTCACTCCTGGTGGGCTCCCCCCTCCCCAAATCATATAGACATTCCCTCTATCAACTCTTTCTTTTAGAGAGGCTCTGGATGTCATCTTCAAAAGCTGGATCACAGTAACAGCCTTGTTTCCTGCTGATTCTCCCCCGCACCACACCAAAACAAAAGCTGCAAGCCTTAAGTTAGGCGGGTAGGTGTTGGCCAGGTGGGTATTGGCCAAAGGTCAGACATTAGTCAGCAGGTAAAGGAGGAAAATATTCAGGCAGGAAAACACTCCCAGTGTCTCTGGAATTACAGAGACAGGTGTGCATGTACCTGTGGGTGTGCACCTGTCTATGAGCGATACCCCAAGTAAGAGAACTCCTGTGGAATATGAGCCTTGTCCACCTCATAAATTTGCAGGTTTAAGGTGGTGTTTAAGCCGCGCTAAACATCAGGAGTGCAAGGCCCAAAAGAATTATCTTCCTATCTCTCTTTGAGGGAGCAGATTTCACTTAAACAATCACACAAGAAGCAAACTCTTTGTTGAAGGGAAGCTTCAACACAAAGATGCCTTTTGAAACCTTGTTTTGGAAATAACCCAATCAATAAATGGGCAAGGGAATGAATAGCACGCTAGAAATATGATCAGTCAATAAATATATAAAAAATGTTCAACATCACAAGTAATTAGAGAAATACAAATTAAAACTACATTGAGATTTCATCTCACTCCAGTCAAAATGGCAATTAACAAGAATACAAATAAATGTTGGTGAGGATGTGGGGAAGAAGGTACATTCATTCATTGCTGGTGGGACTGCAAATTGGTGCAACCACTCTGGAAAGCAGTATGGAGATG